ACTTCCTTCCCTAGCCTCTCGTTTGACAATGCCTGTGCAGCCAGGCTGGTTATAATGGCCAGGGAACCTCTTGTAATTTTATTTGCACATACTCACTTTCTGAAACGTATCTGTGTCTATATTTAAAACCATGGGTCTTTTTGAACCACAGGTGGTTTTTCTTTAGAGCTACCCACCTCTTCCTCACGAGGATGGGCCCCTCAAAGACGACCCAGGTGAGCCAAGCCATATTAGGATGCTTACGTGGCGTAAGCCCTTGCCAGAGAGGCGGTTTATTATTTTTGGAAGAAGGATGAGCTGAAAAGAAACTGACTCTTTTGTGTGAGATCATAATTTTTTTTCCATTAAATTAGCGTCCCTCCATGACACAAAGCCCCTGTCCGTAAACACATAATCTCATAAGTGAAGCATATAACGTACAATGGAATTTAGTTCCCACATTATGTTTGAATTTTGATTTTAATAGTTGGAGGGGATATGAGTTTGGTTATAATTACAGCTATAACACATTTGAAACGCTGCAGATTTCCCAGAATTTTTAATTTTCCCTCTGTCTTCCAGGATTTCCAGTTTACCTTACTCATGCAGAATTTTTTATTAGCAAACTCTAGGCATTGAACACTTTTTCTTTATAATAGTTGGGACTTTTATTAAGCCTACGCTTCCATTTGGAAAGGTGTAATTTTTATCAAGGGAGAGAACATTAAGGCAAATTAGAGAATTAAGGGACTTACAGATGGCTCTGAATGCCCTTATCAAAAATATGTTACTAGGATGAGAGCGATCTATTTCAGTTGGAAGTGGGGAGAATGTAAAACTAAAAAGTGTGTGCTTCTCCTTCTGAACAGACACATACCTGTTTTTGAGGACAATTTTAGAGCCTCTACATATTGTTCTTATAGTCTTTCTGCCCATATTTGCTATTTTAAGAAAATTCAACTCATCAGAGATTATTTAGATATTTTTGTATGTACCACCATCATATGTGTTTGCTAGAATGTGTTACCTAGTGAGTAGTCTTTCCTCTATTCTGAACCTGTGGGTATATATGTGTATAACTAAAACAGCTACAGCCAGGCATATTTTATGTTAAACTCGGGAAAATAATGATCAGAGAGTACTGGATTTAATGTAAATAAATTTAGAGTTTTGATTGAAACTATTGATCATCTAGCAAAAGCATCACTATAAAAAAAATTAACTAGCTGGCCATTAACTGTAGGTAGGAGATTTCTCCTATGAGAGGTTAAAGGAGGCACTGAGTTCAATGAATTCCACTGTAATTTCCCACTTTAACCTTATCATTGAGAAAAGTATCCCTTCTCTCAATGTTTCCATTGAGAAGATAAGAAATAGGGATAAAGGGACATACTCCTCTTGGTATTTGTCAAAATGTAATATACCTTTGAGGGACACATATTAGGTAAATCTGGCAAGTCTCTCTTTCTCTCCCTCTCTCTCCCACTTCATAACCTAGTGGCCAGAGTGGTTGGAAAATGATTAAACAAAGTAACTGAACTTGGGCCATAAAGAAGTAAGTATGATGTGGAGGCTCTGAGAACAGGAACTTACTCCTGTAATATCTGGGGAAAGGACATGATAATCCTTGGTTTAAGATAAACCAAACTATTACGAAGAAAGATGAGGTAATGTTATATGACGAAAAGATACATCTCTTCTCAAAAGAAAAGAAAAAAGAAAAATTGTAGAAGTGTGGAGACCTTTGTGAGGAACAAACAGGAATTAGAAACAAGATAAGGCAGGACCTTACAGTGATTACCCAGCTCATCTCTAGGCTGGCTTCCTTGGGCTCTCGGGAAGGTTTGGCATCTCTATGCATTGAGTTCATCATCTGGAGAGTGCAGCTCATGATAACACCTAACCTCACCAGATTGTTGTGGTGATACAATGCATCTAAACCCAATTTCCTGGCATAAACGGAGTGTTCCTCCACAATAATAACCAGCATAGGAGAGTACTGGAGAGGCCTTGTCCTCAGAAAGAGACAGAGTAAATTCGTCTGGCACAAGGGACTAAGCTGAACCGTAAGGACACATTCAGCTGAAAGTCTCCAGAGAGCAGAGCAGTTGCCTTAGCTCAATGAGAGTTTCAGGCAGTCATATAAAAATGAAGTTACCAGGGCAGTGGTCACTCTGGGCTCATGCATTTGCATATTGGTTGGGTGATAACAGCCATAGAAAAGGAGCAAAGTGCTGAAAGAAACCATTGTAACTCCCCAGAAGAATTACTGACAAGATCAGATTTTAAATTGGTGAGACATAAGAAGAAAGGTCACTTACTTCAATATTATGATGATCCTGCTTTTCAGGGAGTGCCAAGGTTGGTAAGTTGAAAATGAGCTGTGATGAGTGGAAAATGTTAAGGTTAGCACAAAATTTAAATAAGTAACGGGGTTTCTAGAGAGGCTGGATTAGTTGATGAGATGCTCATTCTTTGGCAAAGGCTATTAATGAGTGAAGTTTTGAAGCTTGCTCGTGAAAGGAAGCGACGAAGCCAAACTGCTGTTCAGTAGGAAAGGATTCAAGCCCCAGAACTCCTAACTCATGAGGCTCGCAGTTATTGGAAGTTGGAAGGGTGAGCTGGAATACTTCTGTAAATGAAAGCCATCTCTGCCTAAGGGCAAACCACCATAGCACTAGGAAGAGGCAGGGCTGCAGGGATGGATGATTCCAGGTAAGGGATGCTGAGTCCAGGAGGTTATAGAATCCCAGAGGAACACAGGCTGTCCCTATCAGCCTTGGGGCAAGCTACATAAAGCAGGCACTGACATTTCCTATATTGGTAAGTGATGAGTTTTGGCCATTAATGCTTCAGAAAAGCATGGTGGCCAGAAGTGGAGTTTGTCAGAGGCAACCTAGTGGGGTATCAGCTGACTGAGGGATAAAAAATGCTTTAACATCAGCCATGTGAGAGCAATTAAATCTACTATACTGCAGCATGGCATTGCATCTTAGATGGTAATTTCCATTCTTGGGACACCAAGAATTTGATATACTGAAAATGACATTGCTTATCCAGTACCATAGAGTAAATAAACTTCAGAGGCCACTGTAGGCTGACAGACTGCCCCAGTGCTGAGACATACCTCTCATCTTAAGGAGGGAAATGTGCCTAAACCCTGGGAGTCTCGTAGGAAACATGGTGAAGCCTAGTGTGGTGGTGTGTACCCACAACTCCAACACCTGGGAGCTGATGCAGAAGGAAAAGCCATCTAAATCTAAAATCAGACTCTTCCTAAAAACAAAACAAAACCGACCAACCAAGAAAACCAACAAATACCAATCCTGAACTTGTGACACACAGAGAGAGAGAGAGAGAGAGAGAGAGAGAGAGAGAGAGAAAGAGACAGAGAGAGAGAGAGAAAGAGACAGAGAGAGAGAGAGAGAGAGACAGACAGACAGAGAGACAGAAAGACAGACAGACAATGTTTTCTGGTTCTTTGTATACTTCCACACATCTACAGACCTTAGGTACAATCTGGAAGACTGGGCACAAAGCTTGCTCTACATAGTACAAGAGACTGAAAGCTTGGGTTTAACTGGCAGGTGTGCAGAGCTTGTCCCTGAAGAATTTGTACAGTGATGTCTAGGATACAGATACAAGGAGCCTGATTTGTTAATGTTGAGATTTTTTTTTTCATAGTATTAAAATACACTATTTAAAATATATTACCCTTCAGGTTAAAAAAGAGGTAGCACTAAATTTTATTTATGCAAGATTTTCGTTTTCCATTTAATTTAATGAGCGGTATCAAATTTTATGGTCACTATTTTTCAAGTTTTAATACTGAACGGACATCAGTAATGTGCTGACTTGACACAAGGAGCAGACAGCGGCCAGTAGAGTGGCCAGCTGTGGAACTTGTCCTGCTTTAATTCCAAAGCAAAGGTCATGCCAGGTAATAAGACACCAGACCTTCCCTCATCCTCAAGAAGCCACAGCCTGCCTACATGCTGCCTGTCTCAGATGACAAAGCTCTAAAAGACTGGGAACGGGGAGCAGTAAAGCACAGTTTATAGACGCTTTCTGTGAATCGGGGCTGATGAGAGTAAGACAATCAAACACATAGGGCCCTGAGAAATGCTGTCATTCATTCACCTGGGAAAGTGTGCACTCTGTGGCCAGGTACCTGGTCACTAGTGCTGGCTTCATCAAAGAGTAGTTAACAGATTCATGTTCCTGTTTCTTTTTTAATTTTTTTTAATTTTCTTTTTTTTAATTCTTTATTAATTACACTTTATTCACTTTGTATCCCCCCTGTGGCTCCCTCCTTCCTCCCATCCCAATCCCTCCCTTTCTCCACCCTCTGCATGCATGCCCCTCCCCAAGTCCACTGATAGGGGAGGTCTTCTTTTTCTTCCTTCTGATCCTAGTCAATTAGGTCTCATCAGGAGTGGCTGCAGTGTCTTCTTCTGTGGCCTGGTAATGCTGCTTCCCCCTCAGAGGGAGGTCATTAAAGAGCAGGCTAATCAGTTCATGTCAGAGACAGTCCCTGTTCCTATTACAATGGAACCCACTTGGATACTGAACTGCCATGGGCTACATCTGTGCAGGGGTCTTAGGTTATCTCCATGCATGGTCCTTGGTTGGAGTATCAGTCTCAGGAAAGACCCCCGTGTTCAGATTTTTTGGTTCTGTTGCTCTCCTTGTGGAGTTCCTGTCCTCTCCAGATCTTACTGTTTCCCACTTCTTTCCTAAGATTCCCTGCACTCTGCCTAAAGGTTGCCCCTAAGTCTCAGCATCTGCATTGATAGTCTGTAGGGCAAAGCCTTTCAGAGGTCCTCTGTGTCAGGCTCCTGACTTGTTCCCTCTTTTCTCCTTCTTCTGATGTCCATCCTCTTTGCCTTTCTGGATAGGAATTGAGCATTTTAGCAAGAGTCCTCCCTCTTGCTTAGTTTCTTTAGGTGTACAGATTTTAGTAGGTTTATCCTATATTATATGTCTATATGAGTGAATGTATACCATGCGTTTCTTTCTGCGTCTGTCGGCAGCACATATACTAAAAATTGGAACGATACAGAGAAGATTAGCATGGCCCCTGCGCAAGGATGACACGCAAATTCGTGAAGTCTAACTGTTTTTTTATCTGTACTGACAACATCTTTTTATTTTTTGATGTAGTTTTGAGGGTTAAATATATCAATATTTTTTTTTTCAATCCAGGAAAATGTAACAATAGATACTGATGAGTATGAGAGGAAGCTAGTTTAGGCCCCAATGATATCGGCATCAAATCTCCCATGTTAAGTAGTGTTATTTGAGGATGTGCGGGTGACCAGAAGCTGCTCCAGGAGGGTTCCCCCTGCTGATTCTTAGAATGGGGGAGGCCCTTGGTCCAGTCCAGTATCTCAAACAGCTTTTCAGAATGGCCGTGGCTGGCTTTTGTTACGCAGTGTTTACGTGCCACCTGGAAAACTAAATATTATTATTATTTAGTTTTATTGTCATCCTCACAAGAGACCTGTGAGATAGTGATAGCCAATACCAACCTTAAAGAAGAGAAATGGCAGCAAGAGATTTGAGCAAGTAATAAACAACCAAGATTGTATTTAATCCCGGAGTGACAGCATTTTAATACTGCTGCCTCTCTGACCTCCTACCTTGTACATCAGAAGGGAAAGGAACAGCTACCTTTTGATACCATTCGGTTACCCTCCCCCCATTTGTTTATTGAGGAACTTGGGGTAAAACTCCATATAAACAACAACAAAATCTGCAACATAAGCTTTTCATTAGCCTGAGGGAAATGTTTCAAGAACTCACGTTTTCAGATGCTAAATCAAAGAGCCTCCGTTTCTTTATCTATAAACTGGGCATAACATCTCTTGTATGGAATGTCTGCAAGCCTCCCACGACAAACACAGCTTGTGTCAAGGGCTTCCATAGCGCCTGGGATGTGAAAGCAGCTGGTATCCTTGATGTCATGTCCTTGAGAGCTACAAGTTTTCTTAGAGTTGAGAGGAAGTGGAGATGAGAAGGTTCAGGATATGTCAGGGTAGCGTGAAGAGAAGACTCCAACCCCCTCCCCCCCCCCCCCCCCCCCCCCCCAACACTCATGCCGTGCAGACTTGTATTCTGTTCTAGGGGTTATTCAAATTTGCTTCCTTACTACTCTGGTTGCTGAAAGCTGTGTCCTTTTAAAACATATGGGTAAGTATCATATTGTGTGTGAAAATCAAAGAGGCACTTGTCTAAAAATATGTAACCTGGATTCTATTCCTGGCCTAGCTGCAGACTCCCGTTAGCTTATTAATATGTGTATGCCTCGATTTTTTTCTATGTCTATATAGAATTCACTCTTCCTCTCCTGCTTGCAGGAATTTTGATGCGAGTGGGTGCTCTTGAAGTAAACAATGTGAGTAAGTAAAGCAGAGTCCACATTATTACATTGCTTTGATTAAAAAAAAAAAAAAGTATTCAGTGATAGAAAATAGAAGGTGGTTTTTTTTTGGTGTGGTTATAAAAAAGAAATAGCACTCATTTGCTTAGTTAGAATATACATCCCTATGAGTAATTTTGGTTCCTTATCTACAATGTCTTATATTAAAAAAAATTAAAGCTATTGTAAAATATCCACTTTAGCAAACGGCCACTTTGCTTTGGTGTGGTGACCCACTGTTGGGTCTATCACAAGTTCAATTAACATGTAAGGGCTCAAACTGATTGTCACATTAGATTACTAAATTGAGGTAGGTAATCTGAATTCTTAATTTTGGAATTATAAATATGATATAAATTTTAAATCATTTTACTGCTAGGTCTTTTGTTTGTAACCTCCTCAAATCTGGAGATGGAGCCCAGTGCCTTGGGCATGCCAGGTAAACATGCTGTCACTAAGCTACATTCCCAGCTTTTATCAGCATGTATGCATGTATGTATGTATGTATGTATGTATGTATGTATGAATCATATTACCCTTGATTCCTGTACAACTCTGTCATAATCAGTATATTTTAGTTACCTGTGTAAACATGTATATGACATGCTTATGCATGCCAGGCCTTTATCCTCTGTCCTCTGTTAAATTTAAACTGCTCTGGGTGGGAAGGAACGTACTTAAAATGATCTCCAGGTAATTGTAAAGGTGTTCCTCATTAAGTTTCCCTTCTTTGCATCCGTGGAGGTTTTAAGTCCGAGGAGGAGGCTAGCTAGCCTTTCTCTGGCACTGGCGATCCCAGTTGTAGAGAGAATGTGTATTGATTTCTTAGGATTTTTGTTTGCCAGTCTTCTGAGTTTGATGGGTGTACAAGATACGAGCATGTAAAAGAATGAATAAAGCGTAGGACTCCCTGTGGGGAACCTCCCTGTCTGCCTGTGGGAAGCACAGTTCCCCTCGTGTTCTCTTCTGGTCCTGAATGTTCCCTGAGTTTTCCTTACTGCTAAGAACTAGACGCTTGGTTCAATGTAGCAAAACTGCACTGCTGAAAGTCAGTGTTTTCTGTGACTTGAGTATCTTCAGGTTTGCTTTCATTAGACTTCACGTGTCCAAGTAGATTTATGAATATCTTACTGTGTCACAATATTTTAAATTGATATCTAAACCTTAGAGGGCTGTTACTGTATAATACATGGCCAGGAAAGGACTGAGCATTTTGTAATCTGCAAAGTAACACAAAGCATTGGGTCTAATTAAAATTACTTGTGTGACCTAACGATTCTTGAGATGGCAATCCTTAAAGGATCTTTTGTCATGTGTGTTCATTTCCACAGCACCCTTTGTAAGATAAAAGAGCACAGTTCAATTTCACCAGAGGAAATTGTCCAAAGTAGAAAAGAGGCTTTGAAAGCATTTACAGAAGTAATATATGACAAGAGATGATTGAAACAAAGATTCTGGCTCTATCCTGAACTTCATGCTGACTGTGAATATGCACTGCGCATCATTCCAGGGTTGTACATCAAAATGTTCTCACCGTATGCTTTAAGGTCCTTCCACACAGGGCGTGGAAAGCTCACACAGCCCTGTGCTCCTTCCTGCTAATTTTTGCACACTGGGGCTATGAAGAGTGAACCAGTTAACACACCCAGTTTTTCTGAACGTCAGGGGAAAACACACCTGTTTTTTGTGTCTCTAACATCTTTGTGTCTCCCCACGGGGTGACGCCTCTACTTGGGGGATTTCTGGTTAGGGGAAGAGGGTCTGCACCACAGTCGCAGTCAAAGTGATTATTATCACACAGGTAAGTTTCCACTGTGGCTGCTGCGTGTAGGCTGTGAACACATTTGAAGTCAGCAGGAGACCGTTAGAAACCACCCTTATGCTGAGGAGCCTTAGAAACCTCTGCCTCACTGAAGCACGTTCATAAGCTGCGGTCAGTTGCTTCTTTGTTCCTCCAAGGCTGTCGTGTTGCTTCAAACTGTCTTCTATCCCACAGAGCACACCCTCTTCCAAAAATGAAAAAAAAAAAAAAAGTACAAGTAATTCCCACGGGTGTTTTTGAAATCTCCTCTGTTAATCTTGTTCTAATGGCATGAGGCCTTGCCGGGAGCCATTTGTGGTTCAGACCCACTAAATGACACAACATTCTCACAGTTAAAAACAATTAATATGAAGCATCAAACCAAAGGCCGGGGGATGCAGAAGCCGGGTTAATTGGCTTTTCTGCTTCTCTTATGCATAGAGCATTTCAATCTTTACAGCTTGCTGGTGGCTACAGAAGGCATGTGCAGTGTTCTTAGAAGATACAAAATACTTATTAGTGACGTAATTGCATATATTAGAGACTAAGTTTGCACTGTTATAATATCAGTAAAATTTTATCTTGTTTTAGGTATAAGTGGCTTCTGTTAGTGCACAGTAGCTTTAGCTGGTAGGGATCTTAGCAGTACTCTGACTTCTAATAGTGTAAAAGATGTTGTCAATGGTTGAGAATATTGATTTTTTTTTTTTTATCAAATAGTGTTTAAGTGGAAATTGCACGGAAAGAAATTTCAAGAAATGCAAGTAAAGGTTCTATAATAAAAAGTAGCATTCTAACATTAACAAGTTAGGGATTAAGTTCCCATTAAAACACTCTTTAAAATTCAAATTATATGCAAAATACAGTATTGAAAAATTAGTGTAATTATAGGTATTAATCTTATCAAGTAACTAATAAAGAGACAAATCAAATCCACCAGCAATAACTGCTAAAGCAATGGTAAATCTCATTGGGGTAGTAGGCTTGTTCATTGTTTGCCTTGTTATTAACAAATTGTAATATTATAAGCCATAAACTTTGGAAATCTATTGAAATTAGAAAAAAGCTAATGATAGTTGTGTCACTAGAATCACTAAATTCACAAACCATCATTAGTTTGAAAACACAGAATTGAAGCATATTCTCTCAATATGTGGTTCATTGAAGCTTCCCTGTGACTAATTTTATCTTTGGCCTTTGCCACTAGTACTATGGATTTCGTTATTCACAATGAGCATAAAGTCAGTTATGAGGGCTCCCAATTTCAGGACTTCATGTAAGTGATTTGGGGATGAATATATTGCTGAATATAGATATAATGTTATGGTTATATCTCTCCCAACTTTGCTTTACTAATAATGGGGAATAGAAGAAAGCTCTGGACTCTTTTCTTCAAGGAAGAATCTACATCAACAAACTCATCTTCAGCAACAAAGTTTTCCTTGTTATAGAACACTTCAATTTTCATTGTTTCTGTTTTTAAAATTTTTGGTCAGTGCTTCCATTTAATACAGCAACTGTAATTAATGCAAATATTCTTTATTAATTTCCCAATTCTGTTCAATACGAACATGCCATTGTCAGTATGACGACATAATGTTTTATTCAGTGTTGCGTGGTAAGTAATTGCTTGTCCAATTTTTGTAAAGTGTGGTGTTCAATCATTTTGTCTCCATAAGTCTGCATTCTCAGTTGAGTCTCTCTGAGTCCTGAAGTTTAGTGGCCTAGTTGTTCAAAGTTCAGCTGGAAGGTTTATCTTGCATAGAAATCATGTGCATCCTTACCTATAAAATTGAGTGGAATAAAAAAAAAAAAAAGCATGTTAATTAAACGGAATTTTCTTTTGCACAGCTAATTACTAAAGTAATTATAATTAAACCGGAAGGAACTCTTGCTAGTTGAA